TTTGATGTGAGGCTGCATGCCATTGGAAGGCAACTTGGAGTCCCCTGGCCACTTTTGAGGGTGGGTTGTCCAACCTTTCCCATGTGGTTTGCTCGTAGATCTGGTCGGGGCTCAGGGTGCACAGGACATGTGTGAGCTTTGGGGTTTCTGGGACTGTAAACAAGTCTCTAAATTCTCGTGCAAACGTTCTACTGTTTGAAGAAGCTGTGGCTGCTCAGCCAGAGAAGTTGTTTTTCCAGATGAGCCTGTCTAGGCTGAGCTGAAGTATCAGGCATGTTTTCCAAATCTTGGGCCCTTCTCACGGTTTTGTTCTATTTAATCCATACCTAATTGTTTAGTATTCACTGGATAAAATGTTTTTAGTGATCCAAAAGCCTTTAGACAATGACCTGTTCCTCTTCATGCTTTTGCAATAGTGGCAGTGTTTTATTTTTCCTTGTTAGATGTTGTCTTGAACTTGCAGACCATCAAAGGATTTCCAATGCCTGTTTTTGGGATAGGGGTAGTGAATCTCAGAATGCTTTTCTGCAGCCTTACGTGTGCTTGTTTTCCCAGGATTTTGAGATGAACGAGGATGCTAAGCTTTTTAAATATTTTTTTTCTACTTCTGCATCCTTCTTTCCCCCCATTCCATGTTTCCAGTTATCATAAGTGAAAGTCTGAGATCCCTTCTTGCTGTGTAGCTGGTTAGATTACATGGACAACTACTTAATTAGATACTTTCTGAAGGCTGTTTCTATGATTTCTGAAATGTCTATATTGTCTAATAGAATTTGTCTGTCACAAGAGTGTCTTGACAATAGATAGTAACAGATGCTAAGGAAAATTCTTACATATTAAGGCAATCATTGTTTGGTCTCTTTTCATCAAAATATTCTCCCATCAGTCTTTGTGTGAAGTACCTAACCTGAAGGTGTTAACTTTCTATTAATGTCCTCTGAGTTTCCTGTTCTTGCCATGCATGGTTTGGCACTCATAATAGCCTGTGGAAAGTGGTTCACAGCTTGGTTTGGGAAATGTCTTCTGTGGATTTAGTCTGGCCAGCTAGTAAGCAGGAACAGGAAAGGGGAACATAAAATTACGTGGCGATACTTAACCTTGGTCTGTTAGTGACTAAATCAGCTTCTTCTGATCACTTGAGGAAGGTCGGTATCACAGAATCACAGAATAATTGAGGTCAAAATGGACCTCTGGATATCACCTTGTCCAACCACTCTGCTGAAAGTGAGGTTCCTAGGACATTGTCCAGTCCAAGGGTGGAGATTTCATTACCCTAGTCACCATCTTCCAGTGTCTGACCACTGTCAGAATAATAATCTAAAAAAAAATAAAAAAATCAACCCCCCAAACACCACCACACTCAACTTGTGCCCGTTACCTTTTGTCCTTTGAGTGGATGCCACTGAAGAGTCTTATAATGTCCTGTCAAGTGCTTATACACACCGATAAGATTCCTCTGGGTCTTCATGGAATAGAATCATAGAATAGTTAGGGTTGGAAAGGACCTTAAGATCATCAAGTTCCAACCCCCCTGCCATGGGCAGGGACACCTCACACTAATCCATGTCACCCAAGGCCTAGTCCAACCTGGCCTTGAACACTGCCAGGGATGGAGCATTCACAGCCTCCCTGGACAACCCATTCCAGTGCCTCACTACCCTAACAGGAAAGAATCTTCTCCTTATATCCAATCTAAACTTCCCCTGTTTAAGTTTTTACCCATTACCCCTTGTCCTATCACTACAGTCCCTAATGAAGACTCCCTCCCCAGCATCCCTATAGGTCCCCTTCAGATACTGGAAGGCTGCTATGAGGTCTCCACGCAGCCTTCTCTTCTCCAGGCTGAACAGCCCCAACTTTCTCACCCTATCTTCATAAGGGAGGTGCTCCAGTCCCCTGATCATTCTCGTGGCCCTCCTCTGGACTTGTTCCAACAGTTCCATGTCCTTTTTATGTTGAGGACACCAGAACTGCGCATAATACTCTAAGTGAGGTCTCACGACAATGGTTTGAGTTAGAAAGGATCTTCTCCAACTTCTGCCTAATATCTTACGTAAATCTCCTCTCTGTCAGGTTAAAGCCATTCCCCCTTGTCCTGTCCCTGCAGGCCCTTGTCAAAAGCCCCTCTCCAGCTTTGTCAGCCCCTTTAGGCACTGGAAGCTGCTCTAAGGTCTCCCCAGAGCCTTCTCTTCTTTAGACTGAACAAGCCCAGCTCTCTCAGGCTGTTTTCTCCAGGCTAAACAATGCCAGGTCTCTATCTTACCCTCCATATAATTTTAAGTGACTGGAGCATTTTTTATCTTTGTTGTCACTTGCTCGTCTTCTTCCAGTCTGTCTGTGACTCTCTTGAACTGGGGAGCCCAGGGCTGAATACAGCACTTCAGACCCTGACTCAACGTTGCTGAGTGAAGGGGAAGGATCACTTCCATCAGCCTGCTGTCACCAGTTCTGCCGTGTGTAGCCCAGGGTGGCAGTGGCCTTCAGGTGCTGGTGGCCTATTTTTTTTGCATCAAGGGAATGCTGCTGGCTCATGATCAACAAGGGGCTGTTCCTCTCTATGTGCTGGGGCCTTGGAATTTCCATGTGGACTTGAGGTTGCGTCTGTCTGTTTCTCCAGCTTCTCAGCGTCCTTCTGAATGGCCCCACAGCTGTCTTGTGCATCATCAATTTCCACCTTGGTTTGTATTGTTTGTGAGCCTGTTGTGGGTGTGCTGTCATCTGGTTGTTAATGGAAAACAGTCTCGGACCTGGTACCAACCACGATGTTTGAAGGTTGTTTTTTTCTTTTGTTCTTTTTACTATTTATTGCCAAATAGCAGACAACCTGATAGTGGATAACTGTGTCGGTGAAGGCTGTTTAGAGGTCTTTCCTCAGCAGTGATGGCCAGAGTTTGAATTGTTTGTTTTTTGGTGAGCAAAGCACACTGTCCAAGTCTCAAGCTATATTGGCAGCAGCATTAATTTTATGCTGTTTGCCTTTATCAGTGTGTTGTGGGGTGGGGAGAGGGGCAAAGTGAAGTTTCTCATTCATCTGTTGAACATTTGGGATTGAAATTCAATGAAAGGTCTAGGTGCTTGGGAGATCAGTCTTTTCTCCCAGCAGACAAGCAGCCTTTTTGGATATGTTCGTGTTCTTGAGTGTCTTGAAATTGATTTGCATTACTTTGAAGTCAGCATTAATAGTTAACCTGGAGTTACAGTGCTTTTCTTGTGCATTTGAGAACAGGGCATTTCGTATTGATCTCTTTTTGCAGTACCCAGACTTGTGGCATTACATTAGTGGCTTTAGCAAAACCCTGCAGTTCTGTATGTAGAAGCCACCAGAGATTCATGTCCTCAAGTGAATATTCTTGTACATCCAGCCCAATGGAAAATAAATTGGAGTTCATGCTGTTATCTGGCAGGTAAAATGAATGTTGGGACATTAAAGTTCATCCAGTTTCAATCCCTTGCCACAGGCAGGGACACCTTCCACTAGACTGTGTTGCTCCAAGCTCCATCCAAGCTGGCCTTGAACACTGCCAGGGAGGGGGCAGCCACTGGTTTTCTGGGCAGCCTGTGCTGCGGTTTACTACCCTCACAGAGAGCAACTTCTTCCTAAGATTTCATCTCAGTCTCCCTTCTGTCAGGTTAAAGCCATTCCCCTTGTTCTAGATCTCCCAAAGGAGACCTTGAGCAGATAAAAGGTCAATGCCAGGCCTTGAGATCAAGTTTCAGAGGCCTTGGGGGTTTGGGTGATCTCCTAGATTCTGGTGATGAACGGGAAAGGCTTAGGCAGGAGGAGATGTTGTCTGGGCATCAGCTTCTGTCTGCACAGTTAGTATTTATAGAAAGGGTGGGGGTTTTATGACCATGGGACTCTTTTAGGGATGCAGACTGACGGCAAGAGATGTCATCCATCTAATAAAATGGACAAAAGCATATTTGCCAGCATGGCTGCTGACAGCATGGAGGGTTTTAAGCTAGGTTTGGTGTGGGAATGAGACTGAAAATCAGAAGGGAAGTATCAGTTGAAGAGAGGCACTTGGGTGTCTGTGACAGGGGAGCCTCTTCCACTTCTCCAGAGGAACTCTTGCACCTCCCCAGCGCACCCATGGGCCAGCCCAAAATGCTTATGTGTAAATGTGTTCAGCATGGGACAGGAGGAGTTGGAGGTCTGTGTGCAGTTTTGATACTAATAGTTCTGTTCCCTCTTGATCAGCTCTTGTTATGTGCAGAGCCTCAGTGCTGGTGAGATTAAACTCATGGAGGGCTGGATGACTGGGGTGCTGTAAGTGGAAGGAGGGACATGGAAAAGGAAGGAGGGTTTGCTGCCTTTGCTAAAGAACAGCTTTAGGAATGTACAGAGCTGTGCTGTATAGCTGCTGATAACTCAACTGGGAGCTTATCAGTTAAGTTCAGAGGGGAGGGTTATACCATGGTGGGTGTTTGCTGCAGACCAGCTCATCAAGACGAGGAAGTGCATGAACCCTCTTCAGACAACTGGAAGAAGCTAATGAGTGGAGAATTGGTTCTGACTCTACCCTGGCATCTGCTGGAAGCACAAAGTGATACAGGGCACAGCCAGTCTAATAAGAGGTTTTTAGACTTGCTTGAGGACAGCTTTTGAGCCAGGTGCTGGACGAACAGGCTAGAGGAGATCTACAATCTAGCAGAGTGTAAGAGCTGATTGGGGACTATGAACAGTGGTGCACGGTGGCACCTTTGGTTTCCGTGACCGTGATGAAATGAGAATTCATCATGGAAATCCAACCCGTTCATCATTTCTTTCAGGTCACTGAAATGAGAAGAGCTTATGTGAAATGAAAAAAGCAAGCAGAAGGGAAAACTGCCTGGCTTTGGCTTGTTCAGGAAACTGATATGTAGGATCCTACAGGAATCTTTCCCACAGAGCAGAGAAACCCAGGAGAGCTGGTTGATCTTCAAGGACAACCTTCTCAGAGACAAAGAGTGGTCCATCATGATTTGCAGGGAAGACAAGCAGGTGTGGCAGGAGGCCAGATGGGTCATCTTGCTGAGCATAACTACAGGAAAAAGTCCTGTGGGAGGAAGCTGTATGGACAGGTTACCTGGGAGAGATGCACAGAAGCATCCTGTGGGATTTTAAGGTTCTAATTAGAGAAGTTTTTCTTCCTTTCTGCTCTTAATGATGAGATTCTGTGGTCAAACACAGTTTTAGCTTGCACTGTGGTTGTGCCTAGTGAAAAATTAATGAAATGTGTTGTTGCCACTCTAGGTGTAAGTGGGATGGGGCTTGTCGAGAGCATGTCTTTGTAGTGAAAGTCAAGAGGAAAGCACTGTGCCAGAGAAGAATGCACATTTTGATTTCAGTATGTGAGAAATGGCAAATACCCTCAAATCCCTAGTGAAAGGAATCCTGGCACTGCTTTATTTTTCTCCTGATTTGTTTTGCTACCTGCCATGAAAAGGTTGACACCACAGATGGAAATCGAGATAACCGTAAATCTGATTGCCCTCCATGGGCTTTTGGCACACTGTGCAGAACAAGCTTTCAGGTTTTGTTCCAAGTTAATGGTATGAAAGTATACAGTCTGTTTGGCAGTGCTGAGAGAACATGAATTAGGAGCTGATACAAATCTAAAACCTGCAGTGGTCTGACTTAAATTACTTCAACCACTTTCATTTTGTGTTCTGTTGCTGAGGGCATCTTCTGTTCCAATACAGCTAGAAATGGAATGAGTCACTGAGGCTGACAGGAGAGTGAGAGTAAACAAATCCTACTGAACTCTGTTTTAAACTCCCTGTTTTTATACATGTGCTACTCTGCTACTCCTTCTGGTGTGAAGAGTGTGCTTCATCCTAGCCACCAGTGAAAAAGTCACATACTAGCCTTTGGAATGGTTTAAGTTGCTGTGAAAGTCAGTCTTTAACATAACAAGTAAAGAAGAGATTAGAAGGATGAGGACATCAGCTAAGACTTCCACAGCTAAAGATGGTGTTAGACATAGGTCTTGTAGGTCTTTTGTTTCTATGAGGGGAGAGATGCCTCAGGTCAGCAAGGTCTTTTCAAAGCCCTTTCTAAACAAAGATCAATCTGCAGCCATCAGGGTAATTTAAATGTTTCTGGGTGGAATAAGGTGCAGGCATTCAGGAGAAGCTGTGTACTCAGCATTGATTTTCAACTGAGACATTAGAACAGGCCATTTCCTTCTGCAAAGTCACTTGCAGGTTTTTGTACTTAACATACTGATGCTTTGTTTTCCGGTGTTAAGTTGGAGCTCAGGGGTTCATGTCAAAATGAGCCCTTGGCCATGAGTCAAAAGCAGATGATTAAGAAGGAAACATCCCACCTTCCCCTCCCCAGTATTGCTTAAAATATCCATATTATGTATTTTAATTGGCATCTTCCTTCAGAAGTCTTGAGCATCTGTGTCTGCTATGATGAAGTATGCTTTGTGTCTTAGTTCCCTTGGAAGGGAGGTGTGTGGTGCTTAGGTGCTGAGCTGAGGAAGGGCAGCAGTGTGTCCAACTGTGGCATGCAGGAAGCGTTTTCACAGACCATATTTATAAACTTTAAACCCGAACCATGTCCAGAGACTTTCGAAAGACAATGGTGTTAAACCCCGAATTTCCTTAAATTTATTTAACATACAACCAAACTGATTGGTAGGTGTTTCAACTGTGCAAACTGTAGGGATTTTTGTTTGGGAAGTGTTGTATCTGAGGTATCTTGACAGTTCCTGAAGCATTCCCAAGTGAAGGTGCTGATTGCAAAGCCACTCTGTTACCGTGGACCGTTGAATTCTCAAAGAGGCTTTATCTAGGGGGCAGCACATTTGAAATAAAATTTGGGTATTGCACTAAAATAAGCCCTTTATCTATTCATCTTGGAATCTCTTTGCTCCTTGCATCCTTTGGAAGGAAGGGGTGTTGTTGAGATGTGAGAAGTTCTTTCTCAGTTGTACCCATGGAGAAGTCCAAACCGTTAAATGTAGTTTCATGTGCAGTCAAACATTAAAGTGAAAATGCAAATGAGTAACTTCTTCTTAATCTACTTTTGCTTGCCAGGTCCTGGAGAAATATCCTAATACACCTATGAGCCATAAAGAAATCCTGCAAGTTATCCAGAAAGAAGGACTTAAAGAAATCAGGTGAGCTAAGTAGCTACACAAGTAAAACTCATTCATACTTTGGTTCAAGCTTGGTTTAATTTATTGTTAACCCCTGTGTTTTGGGGATTGAAATGCTACATATGTGCAGAATTGAGGTCCAAGTGTCATTTGCAAACCAGCTCTCAAGTCAGTGGTACTTTTCACAAGAAAACTAGATAGATCTCTGCAGTCCTGCATACAGCTTTGGGCTCCCAACACAAAGAGGACTTGGAGCTGTTGGAGTGAGTCCAGAGAAGGCTAGGAAGATGCTCCGAGGGCTGGAGAGCACCCCTCTGCTATGGAGACAGGCTGAGAGAGCTGGGCTTGTTCAGCCTGGAGAAGAGAAGGCTCCAGGGAGACCTTAGAGCAGCTTCCAGTGCCTAATGGGGTCAACAAGAAACCTGGAGAGGGGCTTTAGATAAGGGCCTGTAGGGACAGGACAAGGGGGAATGGCTTTAAACTGACAGAGGGGAGATTAAGATGAGATCTCAGGCAGAAGTTCTTCCCTGTGTGGATGGTGAGGTCCTGGCACAGGTTGCCCAGAGAAGCTGTGACTGCCCTGTTCCTGGCAGTGTTCAAGGCCAGGTTGGATGGGACTTTGAGCAGTCTGGTCTAGTGGAAGGTGTTCCTGCCCATGGCAGAGAGAGAACTAGTTCTAGTTGGAACTACATGAGCTTTAAGGTCCCTTCCAACCCAAACCATTCTGTTATAAGGGTCATACTTTACTTCCAGGCATGCATGATTCTAGTCCATGGCTCTTGTATAAGATAAGCTAGATCTGTTCAAGCAGTTCAGACTTCAGGTACTGAAGCAAACTTAATTATTTCTTATTTCTCCATTCCAACCCAAACCATTCTAAGTGTCCTGTGATTATTTTATGTATATCTATATATTTTTATTTTTTAAGCAGGAATAGTCAGTTTAATTGAAGCAACCTAAAACAAGCGCTAAAACTGTCCAGGAAGTAAAACACCAGCCTCACAAATCCTTATTTAGAAAACTTTATGCTTCATGCTATTTTTTTTAGTATTATCTGGAGCAGCATGTGGTTCTGCCTTGGAGATCTTCCTGTTCCCATCAAGAAGCAGGCGGGTGTGCTGGGCAAAAGAAGTGCCAGCTTGGTGGCACCGATCTGCTTTAGAAATGGAGCTATTCAGATGGTATTTGAATTACTACATTGAACTACTGTTACTGTAGCTTAATTCATGAGTCCTTGCTCATACATATTTCCCAGAGATAGTATGGTGTATTTGCTGAGATAGGGAACAATTCTCCATAGGGAGTACAAAGTACTTACATTTCTGCTTCCTCAGAACAAAGAAAAAGGGAGGGGAAAAAGAGCATTGGGTGTGCCAGTTGGTCTATTTTGGAATTAAATACCTGTCCTGAATTTGACTTAATGATGTTTTCCAGTCCCCCTTGCCAGTTTAATACAGTAATGCATCTGCTTTGCAAGAAATACTCAAGGGCCCAAGCCTAGAAATTTTGCTGTTGGTAACAACATCTTCCACTGAAGTTGTGGACAATGTGAAGGTGGTTTGCTTTTTGGGCCTGTGAGTTTATCTAAAAGTAAGGACTGAATATACTTAGTTAGCTCTTAGGGAGGTGATAGAAGTGTGGTTTCTGCTCTGGAGATACACTTCACTTTGGGGCAGTACTGCTTTCAGTCAGACTAAAGGCTTACCAGCCTTGGGGCAACTTCAGTATTGTGTTAAACACTGTTAATCTGTCATCGAAGGCATGTTCCTAAACAATGAGTACACTTGTCAGCCCCCTCCCTTGTGTCACCCAAGGGCAGAATAGAAATGCAGCTGTCTGTACCAGTGGTCTCACTGATGGCAAAATGCAAGCCCAGCAGACATCCAGGCACTTACATTGGCAATTCAGAATGCTCTTTTTGAGGCAGAGCCTTAGGCAGAAGCTCAGATGGGGTGTGAAAGATCCACTCTCTGGCTGATGAGGCCAGATTTTGGATGAAACAGCCAAAAAAAAAAAAAAGCAGAAGAGGAATGCTGTGGTGCCAAATAATCTCTCTCAACCCAAGACCTTTTTATTGGAGTTAATTTGGGGATTTAGCCTGAGCTAATAGTAAGTTGTTTTCCTCTAAAAGAGCTGCTGGTGAGCATCAGGACAGTGCAGAGTCCTCATATCTTAAATCCCAAAAGATGTTTGTGGAAGCAGTCAGATGTGAAACTCAATTTCTTTAGTTCAGCTGCCCACCTTTACAGACACCACATATGTCGTGCTGTGGCTAAGCACATGTGTTGTCGATGCTGTGTTGTGGCCTTTCCCCTTCAGTGTTTGATGTAATAAAGCTTTAAGTTAAGACCTAAAAGGCTTTCAGTTCTTAAGCAATTCAATTCCAGTTGCTGCCAGTAAGTAATGTGTTTGTGGCTGGATTGGGCTCCTGACATGTCCTTACCTGTGACAAGATGGACTTCACATTAATCGATATCCCTGGAAGTGTTCAACAGCAGGTTGGATGGGGCTTGGAGCAGCCTGGTCTAGTGGAAGGTGTCCCTGCCCATGACAGGGGGGTTGGAACTGAGTGGGCTTTAAGGTCCCTTCCAACCCAAACTGTGCTATGACTTGGTGGGGAAAAAATAAAATGTCTTTGACAGCATGAAAGCTGTCAGAAGAGCAGGATGAGCTCACCAGTGTTAGAGTCCTCTTGTGCGTGGAGGTTCTGGCAGGAAACCACAGCAAAACCTTTGGCAGCAGATTATAGCGATTTCCATGTACTTGCCTTGAGGCACTGCAAGAGTTTAGTTTGGTGCAATGGTGTGCGAGTTTGCAGGCAGAACATGGGCTCCCTGGTTAACATGTATGTTGAGGCGTTTGAATTTTTCACATTGCTTATCAATGCAATTTGCTTGTAATAAACAAAATTGCTGATTTCTTTGGTAAATATTTCCACAGTCCACATATCTCTAAACTCTGTCATTTTGACTTCAGTGTATGCTTGTTGGGGTTTTTTATTCACCATCTGCTGCTTCAAATCTATAGATATATCTAACCTTTTAAAATATCTGATTTCCAGAAAGAAAATAGTTTTAGAAGGGACAAACGGCTTTCCTACGGATGTGCTGAAATGAGGTGGAGAGAACGGGGAGCTCAGCTTGTGTCCAGCAGTCACTTTCCTGCCTGGCTGTACTGCCAGTCCATCTTCCTCTTGCTCTAATGATTCCTGGCATGTGCTGCCAGTTGGCCAGCTGCTGAGAAGGAAGCTTAAGGGCATGTTTAAAATTTAGATGGCTGGAAGTACTGGTCCTGTTTTATAGTATTGGGGATTGCAGGGAGGAGGGGTGGCAGTGGAGAGTGGAAAAACCAGTAACAGTGGCTTCTGCTTACATGGAGGGCAATTTGGCTAATTTTTGGACAAGGCTAGGTCTTAAGATGGAGGAATTTTTGTAGTAATGCAAAAAGCTGGGGTGATACTGGCTGATTATCCTACCTGTATTTATAACTTTAATCTGCTACTCAATTTTAATAATGAGATTTTTAAAGGCCAGCCCAGGACCAGTACTCCAGTGCATCAGTTTTGGAAGCTTAGGGCATCCTGAAGCTAGAGCTATACTTCTTGTGTGATCTGTCAGCCTGATTTTCTTGATTTGCTTGTTTTGACAGGCTGCCCTAATCCTGAAATCCTTTCCTAGCTACTTGTCACTGCTTGCACACTGCAAAAATAAAATACTTGAGGATAAGCACTCAACAAATTGGCAGCATAACCTTATCTGGCTTTAAGATTTGTACAACATCCTATATTGCTTTATCTCTGTTGGCAATGTAGCTTTGGCAAGCCTGAGCAAGTCATAACATTTAGATTTTCATATGAGACTTTGAAGATGCATGGGATAATGGTGTTAACCCAAGCAACACCAGCTTAGAAACCTCCCCAGGCTTGAATGCATGGGATAGGTGACACCAAGAGTTGGCAACAGAGGCTCACGTTTCTTTGATAAATAGCTTTTTAAATCAAAATTTTTGTCATTGGATTTCATTAATTTCTTCCCATATGTGAGAATCAGTGTAAGAATATCTGAGGAGTAATTAGCTTTTAAAGGTCATGAAGTTCAAGAAGGCCAAGAGCAAGGTCTTGTACCTGAGTCAGGGCAATCCCAAGCACAAATACAGGCTCGGTAGAGACTGGATTGAGAGCAGCCCTGAGGAGGACTTTGGGGTGTTGGTCAATGAGAAGCTCAACATAGAATCACAGAATGGTTTGGATTGGAAAGGAGCTTAGGATCGTCTGGTTCGAAACTCCCATACCACGGGCAGGGACACCTTCACTAGACCAGGTTGCTCAGAACCCCATCCAACTTGGCCTTGAACACCACCAATGATGGGGCAGCCACAGCTTCTCTGGGCAGCCTGTGCCAGAGCATCACTGCCCTCACAGAGAAGAACTTCCTCATACCTAAGCTGAACTTCCCCTGTTTCAGTTTAAACCTATAACCCCTTTTCCTATTGCTACAGTCCATGATGAAGAGTCCTACTCTGGTTTCCTCATAGACCCCCTTCAGGTATTGGAAGGCTGCTATGAGGCCTCACTGCAACTTCAGACTTCTCCAGGCTAAACAGTCCAAATTTTCTCAGCTTGTCCTTATATGAGAGGTGTTCCAGCCCCCTTATCATCCATGCAGCCCTCTTTTGGGTGATTCAGATCCAGCAGTGTGCACTTGCAGCCCAGAAACCAACAGTGTCCTGGGCTGCATCACCAGCAGCGTGACCAGCAGGTCAAGGGAAGGGATTCTCCCCCATTGCTCCACTCTGGTGAGACGTGCACGCCCCCCACCCCCCACAGTGCTGCATCCAGTTCTGGGTCACCAAAACAAGAAAGATGTGGAACTGCTGAAGCGAGTCTATAGGAGGCCACAAAGATATGCTCTGAGGTCTGGAGCACCTCTGCTATGGAGACAGGCTGAGAGAGCTGGGCTTGTTCAGCCTGGAGAAGAGAAGGCTTCAGGGAGACTTTAGAGCAGCTTCCAGTGCCTAAAGGG